TTAGTGCTACCACAGTATTAGTATTACAACATTAATATTCTAACTTATTTGTAACGTTTGAACTTTTGATTTAGTGCAATATTTTGTACTGCCATCAGGGACTGCCAGTGACCGGCTGTTGCATGCATAAAACGCAACCTTTTTATTCTGACAGCGTATGATTTCTATTAACATTACAGAACAGAACATGATCAATATTATCTTTCAATGTTCAATTTAAATAATTGTAATTGCACAACCTATGTAGGCTACAATTTCAATTTGTTTATTGTGAAATAACTCAAACATTTATGTTTTTTTATTCTGTCCTCTGATAAGCATTGTTCAGGGCTGCCGTTCCCAAAAGCTTTAATGCTTTCTTATGATGCTTTTGGGAAACACAGCCCTGTTTGAATGCACTGTCAGACGTGAGTGAACGCTCTCTGTGATGGATTGGTTCTGTCTTGCAACATTTGCTTGTGTTCTGATGAGCAGGAAAATAATTCTATCCTACACAATTACTCGCTAACAAAGGTTATTCATCCAATTCAATGCATAATATTATTATTATTATTGTTGTTAAATAAACAAAACCACTGGTAAATAAAGCGCACATTAGTATCGCCCATCCCTGAACTAGGGATGGGCGTATCGATCCGAAGTATCGATACTGACGCGAGTATCGAAAGTATCGATACTTCGGATCGATATGCCCATCCCTAGTTCAGATGTTGATGCTTTATTGAAAGTAAGAGTTTGGTTTGAAGTCACCATTAAGGTAAATAACGTTTGCTTTAATAGACCCCTTGACTCTTATGCTACTCTTTATTTTTTGAAAAAACATACTTAAAAAACACTTACAATCAAATGTGATCAGCTGATATTGGTTGTTATATATTTTAATCAGAGGTGTGAAGAATACCTAAAAACCGTACTTGAGTAAAAGTACTGATACCTTACAGTGAAAATGACTCCACTACACGTTACAAGTCACTAACTCCAAAACAACTTGAGTAAAAGTCTTAGAGTATCTGATTTTAACAGTACTTAAGTATTTTAATATAATATAGGCTCAAAGATGCACTAGTCAAAGAGACACGCCAGTCAAAAACTGTAACGTTGTGGATAAGCTGAAGAAAACAGGATCTATGTGCAGGTATTTCATGGAAAAACTAGAACAAACAAT